TCTTAAAAAGTACTCGATCGATTAGAAGTATTTTGACAGGATGTACAAACCGCTTCAAATAAAGACGGGCCTGTTGGTCTAGTAGTTAGTGAGCCTGACTGCTAAGCCGGAGGTGCGATTCCCACCCAGGACGAATATTGTGTAATGAGCACGGTCTTTTGTTCTGTGTCTGGGTGTAATTTACCTATAATATGTATGTATTTAAAAATATAAAAGGATGTTTATCAGCAGTCTGGTTACTATAGCACAGGCTCTGCCTAGTTTGAGATCAGATGCCCGTGTGTGAGATGTGTGAGATATATTATTATTAATATTGTTCAAGAACTCTATCTCGAGTCAGGTTTGTTTTCCATTTCTTATCCCATTTCTTATCAATGCTACCACAACGTGCCAGAGCGAATCAAAGCAGGGTACAGCTAGTTATTTATATTTGTTAAAATGTTCGCATTTCCTGAAAAAAGTATAACATAATTATGTATACGCTTATTAACGTTGTGAGGTAATCCAATAAGTATTACATTTTGACGTTTTGACGCTGACGGGTACAGGGGTCATGGTACTTTTTATAATTTACTGATATTTTTAAATTGAAATTTATATTATTATATTACACAGTAACCGTTAAATGTTAGGTAAAATGATCAATTATGTCACTGTGGTAGAGAACAGGGAGGACAAAAATAATGACACATCTTTGTGTGATCAACTGTCAACTGGTAGAATCAAATACCTCACAGGTTATATTTGATAATATTCTAATGTAAACACGTTTTAATGTCCTATGAGTATACTGTACATAGGTAGTAGACGATTGAATTTGTAGTCATTTGATAAAGTCGAAAATAATCATGAAAAGACAGATATCAGAATAAAATGCATTTTTCTAAAATTAAATTCATATTATATTGTAATCAATATTCTAAATATGTATAGTAATAATAATATATATATATATATATAAATCATATAAATGTAAATCAGCTGATTGGTCAAGTATAGAAATTAAGTGGTCCTACCACAGAATTTCTATACTTTTTTCTATGACAAAATGTTAACAACGTGTTACAGAAAAGGTTGTATATAGCTTTATATTATGTACACGTAGTGGAGTTAACATAAAAAAAAATACTATGTATACTTTTAGGTTTCTTTTCTTTCTTTCTTTTAGGTCGGTTCTTTCTCTTCATGTCGACAAATTTTTAGGTTCATATTGTTTATATTAAAAGTCACTTTTCAATAAATAACTCTACAAGAGCGACCGAGAGTTCTACATGCATGATCCTCGATCGCAGAAAGCGATTTTCAAAGGTTTTGCCATTTCTTTTTCCAATGACTAGTAACTATTTTTCTAAAATACTCCTTTAAATCTATTTTTTTAATAAATCCTTACACATAGCAGTCAATTTCTGAGTTTAAAGAGTTTACAGAGACAGTAAGTCAAACCGACGGACGTAGATCACGTGTCTATGTACAATAATTAAACTTTAAATATTACCTAATTAAAGAAGAACGGCAGATCCTGTACCCCTAGTTATGTATGATGGATGGTTATGAGATTTGTACCGTTTATAAAGTGAATCAATCTAACTATTTTCATGTAATTATCATATTTTTAGAACTTTGTTAAAAGTATTTAAATTCCTATCAAAAATTGTTTTATTTTATATCAAAAGTTGTTAACAAAACGCATTCCTACGTTTACTTAACATTCCATGAAATATAAATTACATAAAAAACTATATGTTTACATTGATATAAATGAATGAGCTTACTAGTGTATATAGCTGATAAAAGCAAACATTTTTTCATTACCAATGTTGACTGTACAGATTAGACGAAGTAATAAAGGAATGATTATTTTAAATCTATTTATTTAAGTAAAAGTACTAATACCTTCGTTTTAAATCGATGAGACTACTTGTGAACATTAAATCACTTGAACAGTGATAAAGATAATCGTAAACGAAGTCTTTTGATTATAAATAAATAAGACACATAGGTTAACTTGTTGACAGCAAGGCCTACTTATTTGTGACAGCTAGCTGTCATTGGTATGGACTTCAGAACAGCCTTTATGTAAACTAAAAAACTGAAATAACTTTTGAAAGCAAAGTTCTAAAAATCTGGTAATTAAAACTGTAATTGTTAATGATATTACTAGCCAAATAAATATATCAATAATCCCCACCGTAACATAAGCAAGGCAGTACAAAAATCCCCCACAGGCCTGCTGTTATCCTTTAATGTTGAGTTTAGACAACTGCTTATTATTCACAATATGTACATTAAATACATCGAATTCTTATGAACTGGTATCATCATCATCAGCAACAGCCTCTAATAGTCCACTGCTGGACATGGGCCTCTCCTTGGAAAGGAGGTTTTGACCTACTATACCACCCGGCCCAGACGGGTTGGTATAGGATTTGTTTCAAGTTTTCCTTGTCTTTGCAGTGCTGTTGTCCTGCGCTGTTTATTCCCTCAGTCGGCTCTTACGATACCCACGGGATGAATAGGGGAGGTGACACTCAGTATTCTTAATCCGTCACCACACGGATAACGGTTTAATTGTATTATTGTATTATTTGAATGTCGTATATTGTAACCAATATTTGTAACCAATCACCTGATGGAAAGTGACCATCGCCGACCATGAACGTCATGTTGTTAATATTTATCATTATCATTATTTTATTCAAAGAATTATCTTTCCTATACACACAAGAAAGATGATTCTGTTGGATTTGGTTAAGAAATTATTTTAGACGGCACTTAAGGCGCCTAGTCGTTAAAATTCAAATAAAATACAATCCTATTTTTTTTCAAACAACTATTAAAATATATTAATAAATATTATTTACAATAAATATTAAAAACAACTATATACACAACTAATTTACTTATTATATATTAGGGGTTAAAGTATGAAATTGAAAAATTGAAACTCGTTTTTTTTCTAAGATGTAACATATTTATTTAATCGAAATATTTACCCTCATTATCTATACATTGCTGCCATCTAGAACTCTGGGGATCTAGATTCGACAAACTGAGACTGAGAGATTCGAGAACTTCATAAAGTTTGTTTTTTAATCTCGTAGACTAAACTGACATTACGAGTGTTGTCAGTTTATTGCAATTCTTAAATAGTGATGTGGCACAACCGAAACTTAGCGTTAATAAAATCAAGTATCGTTTTTTTACAATAAGTTATCCTGAAATAATGTGTTTATCCTGAAATAATGTGTAGGTACTTATTTAAAACGTAATAATACAAAATTAATAATGTAAAACATATATTTTTAATTACATAACTTAATTACAGGTATTTGCGTTAATCTGATTCAGATAATGACTCCATGTCTGAGGAATATTCTGAGTCATCAGAATCGCCACCTACTTCTATGATAAACCTATCAGTAATGTCGTCGGTTATATGGCCCAGATGACACATTTGATCTTCAATTTTAATTACATGGACTACACAGTCTTTCCACCGCTGCGGGGTCACTTGACGAAGCCCTTCTTCAAAAAGGCTTCGTACTTCATTCATTTTGAATGTTTTATTATTTTTAGTGACATGCCCCTTTACTTGAGCCCAGACCAACTCAATCGTTCGTATTACGTATTCGTACAATTGTTCGTATGGTGTCAAGTTCCATAATTGCCGTATTTTTTAAGTTCTGCCATTTCGTAAGAGAAAAGGGTTAAGATTGCCGTTTTAACGCGTACGGGAACAACACTGATGGCGTCTATAATTATTTTTTTTGTTTAATTTAAAGGCATCGAAACATGGTCGGGTTACGCATGGCGTTGCGTGGTCAGATTGCCCTGGCAGTTTGTAGCACGTCGTGCAGTCGTGTGTACGTACGTGAATTTTAAATGTAAAACTTTGAATGAAAATTAAATTCGTCTATTATAAATAAAAAGTTACGATTCAAAAAACCGGTATCGTAGGTACAACTCTGCACAAAAGAGCTGGCAACATTATTTGTAAATTTGACATTTGCATGTGTCAATTTAGTCTACGAGATTAAAAAACAGACTATAGGTATCATGAGAAAAAGTTTCACCCGAAAATCTCACACCATGAAGGTTTTATGTCAATTCAAAGTATCTATTACTATACAACAGCAATTTCATACCTTAACCCCTATTATTTACTAACAATAAGGAAAGTATGCTTTTCTGTAGTGTGGTCATAATATATAGTTTGCTGTGTTTGAAAGTTTTGTATTTAGTTCAAAGAGTATACTTATACACTACTTTGTTTAGACAAGTATGGTTTTAGACCATTGGTCTCATAGCTTCACTTAACTTTCTTTACCAAAATACAGTACAATCGACAATTTATTTTGTGAAAGTTTCTTCTAGTTAGTTTTAAATATAAGGTCACAGAAATAAAACTTAAATTCTATTCTGATCCAATCCACAATCACTAATACAGAAAATAATTCTTATGACTATTTTGTAAAAGATTACATTAAAATGTAGACACAATAGTCACTAGAATTATTTTTTATGACAATGAATATGGATTGCATTCTATACACATTTAACATTTGTTTTTTTTTATTACTTATGTATATTTATGTTTAATATAAGTAAGCTGAAACACTAAAACTTTAACTTGAAAAAACCCTTTTTTTTTTTACTTGTGGAAATCCCCTCGGACCGTCACCCCACCGGGGTTTGCGGCGGGGTGGTGTGTCGGACTCGGACCGACTAAAACCACACGGTGTGCCACTCTGCGCCTGTAATAGGAGGGATCTGGGAACAGCTGTTATCAAGACATCCGGCCTAACTTGAAAAAACCCTATACCAACCGTCAGACCTCTTTTCTAAAGACAGGCATAGGCCACTCTTTAGAAAAGAGGCCACTGCTGGACATAGGTCCAGCAGTGGACTATTAAATTCTGTTGAAGTGATGTGATGATGTAAATAATAAGTAAAAACTCATAAATCTATTACAGATGCAGTGTTTTATTTGCGTCACGTATATGGTGATCCTATGCAGCGCGAATCCAACGACAACTCGAGAAATTGCAACTACTCACGAGAAACGTTCATTATTCCGCGATGTAATAGATTCTCTAAGAATCCATACTCAGCTACCTAAAGAAATTAATATAAACGATGAAAATGATTTGTCACAAAATTACGATAGATATGGATTTAAGGACGAATATCTACCAAGTGACTCGGAATTCGTTCCAAGAAGAAATGATCGAATCGAAATGCCATCTCTAAAATACCGGTTTCCAAAAAGCTTGGATCTAAATGCCAATGATAAAATTCCAGTCAAGGAAGTAGTGGTACATATAGATGCTGACGCAACTAAACAGACAACACAAAAACCTAAAAAGGACAGAATAAATCAGAGACCTACTATAAATAAAGTCAAGCTACCGAACAGAATCAAACAAAATGAAGAAGAAGTTGGTAATACTGATACCGATACTGATGATAACTTTCATTTTAGTAACTTCATGAATGGACAAAGTCAAATCGGTCATAGAGAGACACAAACAGTATTGAAGCCGACAGTTATAGTTAATATTAGAGGATCAGTAAATCATAGAGACAGTGATATCAGACTTGAAGCTAGAGACGAAGGCAATAGTAGTGTACCATGGCAGAATATATTTAACATAAATCAAGAAGTGAAAATCGGTAAGGAAGTCGATAGAAGAAAAAATCCTGTACAGCAAGAAATAAAAACGGTAGAAGAAAAAGATTCTCCTAAACCCAAAGAGCACATGATGATGTGTGAGACAGCATCATCTAAATTTGATAATGGAAATCGTAAATTTGATAATGCTTTACAAATACTTTTTACTGTTTAGATATAGTTAAGACTAGCCACATAGGGCCTATGCCTACTACTCGGATACCAATAACGGTATGCGGCAAATATAAAATCCCATTGTAAAGTTAGAATTTATAATTTCTTCAACAAAATATTACTGGCATAAAAACTTTCATGGATGGCATTAATTCTTTAAATATATATTTATAGTGTTTTTACTCCTGTGGCAAAAGGGATCCGAATCAAGTCGGTCATCCCCATATAAATCCGTGACTAAAACCGTATGTACTTAATAAAGAAATGTATTATTAGTTATGATTTTTAGGGTTTCGAAGAAGAATGCAGGCCCACATGACAAATAAAATACCTGATCAGTGCATGTGTGTGTTTTTATACGTTGAGTATATTATTTAACATTTACATGTGTTTGATTTGTAAATAACTCGCTTCTTCAATTCACACATTTGTAAATTATTATTGTTTCAAAACCATTATGTATTTCGTTCTACTAACCTAGTATTTCATTGTAAGTATGTACGGTCGCGATCATTGTAACTAGTTAGACTTACGACCCTCGTTCATTGTCGTATATCACACATACATACGTATGATAAAATCTTCTAATTTCGACGTAATTAATAACTAATCATCTGCCGCTGCATTGGACGCTGATGCTAATGTCATTTCAACACTCATGCAACCTCATGGTAACTTTTTAAGAATTTATATTTTAACTGTAAGTATAGAATTTATAATGAGTGCAGTATTGAAACGAACGTCAAAGAATACAAATCGTTGATGATGAACTAGTAGTCACTAAAAGTTGAGTGAATTGTAGGTACTAGTGGTGTTTATATTGAATATATGTATTCAAAAAGCAAAGCAAATATTAGTATTGAAGCCAGCCATAATGTATTTACACAGATAGCCAATGAAACCCGCTTAACAGTAATTCTTTTTGTTTGATTATGTGATTATAATTGATTTGTGTTTGATTTTATTTCATAATCTCTTAAGTGTTGGGTTAAAATGTGTAATAAGAAGTTTATTTTGGAAAAAAGCTGTGAGACGTTGTGTGAAAGGAAAACCAGTTGCCACATATTAAACAGCCTTAGTGACAATTTATGGTTGATCAATAAGAAATAGACTTCGTACCAACTAGACTCCAATTACGTCGAGGTTTCGAACAACAATACCATTTACTGTGCGCAATGTGTATTCCGTGGTAGACATTTTATTTAAGATAACTGTGCGATACACCGTGCTTGTAAAAGAATTAAGATTTCATGGTCAAAGCGATCCCTACGTAAAACGTTTGGGTTTTAATGGTGCAAAGGTGGGAAGTACGAGATGAGAGATATATGGATATGGGACAATCTAAGTGGCACAGATGTATGTGCAAATATTGTGGCCTTTATGCGTCAACGCCTTCGGGTATCACGGATTTCCTTTCGAGGGTACAACTGATTCCCCGGCAACTGGTACCCGAGATACCCACCGGTTGGTGGTATCCGAGGGGATTGCCGCATAGAAGAAAAACAAAGGTATATTAATATGAGGTATATTAAGATGATTGATGATGATGATGAAAAATAACAGATCATCTCGTAAGTGGCTATTGCCGCTCGTAGTCACCTGCTGCTCAGTTGCTGATGAATTAGGTAGGAGGAGAGTGGGATGGCTAGACCTCTGGTGACTTCACTTACTCGGAGACATGCAACGAAGAATTACGTAACACCGGTTTTCTGTGAGTTCGTGGTCTGTCGAGCCTGCCCATATTATATGCTGCTGCAGTATGGCTCTCCCACGCTCTCTCTTTTATTATTGTAGATTTAAAATAATATTAATATCAGTCGGTAATGTGTTAAGATAAGAAGTTGTAAAACAAGATGGATGTGCTCAATTTCTATTAATAAAAATTAGAATATATTTAAAAATAGACAAACAACTTTAGCGAGTATTCGAGTATTTTAATATGTATTAAGGAAGTAATTAATACATTTAGAAAGATGATAAATATTAACATCGAATGTTTTGGTGAAAGCTATTAAGATTGTGTTAAATCGATTTTAGTTTAATCGATACAGATTTAATCGTGTGTACTTATTACCTTTCTCCTTTAATTAAGCATTTAATTCGATTAACAACTGTGTAATGTCCATTGCGTGCTCGTCTTATCGTTTATAAAGAACAGTTTTGTATAGATTTGACATTTTATATGTTCATTTATTTGACCGTTATAACTGTTCCTTCTCATTTCAATTTTATTTTTAAAAGACTTGCCCGCATTAGGAATATATCCTGTGTCGCGGGGGACTTTACAAACATACATCAAACTGACACAAAGAACACCCAGACTCAGAACAACAATTTGTGGATCACACAAAGTGTCGTCCCATGTGGGGTTTGAACCCACAACACTCGGCGTAGTAGAAAGCCACCGACCGCTTAAACCACTACGCCATCCGTGCAGCCGCAGTTTGCAATAGTTTTTCTTTATACGAATTTATTTCAACTACTAAATTAGCAAATAAACACACAATGCGATATTGTTATCGATTACCTATAGAAATTCATAAAACCAGTAACAACGCATAAGCTTTTCATGTTACAAATATTTCTAATAACATCACTAAAATATAAAATCTATTTTTTATATCAGATTTTATATTTCAGATTACCTGATGGCAAGTAACTTGTTTGCCCGCTCTTCCATAAACAAACAAAATTTTTTTTCGCCGGATTAGTATTTTATTCCGCCAGAGCGGGTGTCCTTTTTTTCACGCGGGGCTTGCTTTTCGCGCCATACCCTCAGTTGGGGAAACGCAGGGCGCATGTGGAACTCCCGGAGAACTGGTCTACCTCGGCAGTCGGGAGAAGCTCCAGGAACGCATCGGCGACTTCTGGAGCTTTCCCTGCCCATACCCCATGTCTGAAACACATCCCGTAGTGACCGTAGTCACCCTGGGGCAGGACGCTACCGCGCGTCTCACTGCTCTACAGAGTAAAAGGCACAACTACGTTCCGCCTTAGACGACACCCCCCGGCCGCACCGGAGTGTCAACTGTAAGTCCTATATAGATCCCTTGTATCACAGAATTTTACGAAAAATAACGTGCTGCGAAATATCGCTGTGCGGACGGATCGTTACATCCGTCTCGTGATTAGTGGGCTAACTTTAGCAAGGGATTACAATTGTTCAATGAATATTTTTTTATTAGTTTTCTACCAATACATTCATCGTTAAACTGAGATAGAGTCAATTAATCTTATAAAGATTCTTTCCAATTACAGTCGTTTATCGTCTTTTGATCAGATCATCATCGTTTAGGTACAACCTTTTACGTGTCAAATAAAGTTATTAAAATGTCTCATATGGTATTCTTTTAATTTTCATTTATTTTTCACACCTACTGATCATTGAACAAAAGAAACCTAAACTTTACATAGATCTGCTGTAGAGACGGGTAAAATTGCGGTAAAATTAAAGTGTCGGTTTGTAATGTCAAAATGATAGGTTTTTCATGTTCATTCGGGTATTTGCACGATACCTATGCCTTGAAACCAGTTTAAATATTTTTGTCTATCTATCTGTTTTTTCTGGATATTCTTTACCCAACCGATTTAGATAATATTTTAGATAGATTTAGAAATTTGATATATACCTTTTAGATATACTCAGTATGGAAGTATATCTAAAAGGACTGCACGGATGGCGCACGGTCGCCACGCCGCTTACTACTACGCTGAGTGTTGCTGGTTCGATCTCCACATGGAAGACACTTTGTGAGATCCACAATTTGTTGTTCTGAGTCTGGGTGTTTTTTGTGTCCATTTCATGTATCTTTGTAAAGTCCCCCGCGACACAGGATATATTCCTAATACGGGAGCAGCCTTTAAAAAATAATCTACTTCTTCAATGCTGCTCATGTCATTAAGACTGTACTAAAATTAATATTTATTACTCGAGTGTGTATCACGTGGGTGCCCAACTATTTTTAGAGCCAAAAGAGGCTTTCTCAAGGAGTGCAACATCCTGTCCCTACGGTATTAGCCGTTAAACTCCTAGCGATACCAGACACGCAATAATTTTATTGTAGTTTTAAAAAGAGAACAATGCAACTACACCCAGTTCCACACACAGACATATACAAACGAATAAGTTCTTAGTACACTGACAATCGAGCCATCTTTAGAGTGGCAGTCGAAGTCTTACTCTCTTCCACAGCACTGCGCTTCGTAGCTAATCAATTAAATATAAATAACTTTATTGTTTTCACTCACACGGTTTACGGTCATAATTATTTTTTTTAGATACAACTACTGCTTTAGGAATATGTCCTGTATCGCGGGGGATTTTACAAAGAAACATAAAACGGACACAAAGAACACCCAGACTCAGAACAACAATTTGTGGATCATACAAAGTGATGTCCCGTTTGGGAATCGGACCCACAACACTTAGCGTAGTAGTAAGCGGCGTGGTGATCGCTTCAATCAGTACAGCGTATGTGAAACAATAATAAATATTCTGTGTGGGAAACTGGAATCTGCAATATGAGACCTGTATTACACATGGACATGGACAGCTAAAAGTATGGAGTTGCTAAAGAAAGTGTCGGCATTGTTAGTGGGTGAGAGTTTAGTACCTATGTGTGCGCGTGTGTATATGTGTGGTTGTGTGTGTGTGTGTAAGTGAGTGAGTGCGTGAGTGAGTGCGAGTTAGTGTGTGTATGCTCATCTTCAATTTATTGAATACTTTTAACTTTTTCGTTGGATGGTATAGTAATAAATATAATAATAATGTTATATGGGCACATTAAGCAGATTCAAATTTAGTTAAAACAATGATGCTATATAAAAATTATTGAATTAGAACTACTATGCGATAACTAAAAAAATATTGTTACAAAACATGCATGAAATGAAATCATCTTCTTCTGGCCATTCTCTGAATTTATTTGAAGTCAAACTTTTTGTGTGTCTATGCCAGGATGGTCTTGTTTGCTTGTTGTTGCTATCCTATTAGATAGTAAC